AGTTAAACCATGTTCACCTGAATAATGTCACCAACATTGATGATATAGGCATCAGGGGTGGGCTTAACAAGAACCCACTGCCCATCAGACTTCCTCTTCACTTGCAGGCCCCCAACATCGTCTTGGGCCAGTATTGTCAGGGCTCCAGCATCCTTGTGCCGGCCCACGCCAAGGGCCAGGTCTGAAATCGGGCATGGTGGGTAGTGGTTGAGCCGGATGAACGAGGTTTGGTCCTTGAGAAATCCATTGAGTCGATCTTGGGCCAGGCCCAAGCTCAGGGATATGAGTTCTAGAAGCTTGAATGCCAGTTTCTGTATTTCTGCTGCATGCTCTTCACATATTTTCCTGTATAATAATATTATTTAACAGGTTAGCTGGTTTTCATTTTTTTCAAAATTGAACTGGAAATTGGTGAATTTTACAAAAAATGTTAATCATTGAGTTCATAATATTAATTGGGATTTGAATTTTGGGTAACTTGAGTGTGTTTGGTTTGATAAGCATTATAAGCTAGGTTATAGCTTATTTGGTTACCTTTCCTCTATGAAAATAAGGTAGGACATACTATTTTAAAAAATTCGAACTTGATCTCATATCATAATCTTTTTTGGGTAGTTTATCAAATAAGCTCGTTGAAATTTTTATTTTAGTTGACTCATCAACTAATTTTACCAAACATTTTATCATATCAGCCATCAACTATCAATTACAAGCTCGAAATTTAGTTAAAGCGTGTTTGGCAAGCACCATAAACTAACTTATTACTAATTTATGTAGCTTTGGAGAGACGAGCTTTCTTAAAAAAACTATCTCGTAAGGGAGTTCCCTTAAACAATTTTTCAAATAAGTCCGTTGGAATTTTTATTGCAGCTCACTTATCAGTTAATTTTACTCAAAACTTTTCTTATATTAGTTAACTTTTCAGCCATCAACTATAAGCTTGAAATTCACTATAAGCTATGAGCTAACTTTTCGATTAGTTTTACTAGATATATCCTTATAAGATATCAATTAGTTTACCATATATAGCCTCATGATTTTTAAGTTGGTGTAGATTTAATTTGAATGAATGAGTGTTTAGATATATATTTCCCAAGGTTAATTCCGAATGCAAAATGAGAGAAAACTAACAGCATCTCACTAAGTTTTGGACTAATAAAAAAATCCGATTTATTTTGGGCTGTAGTCAGAAAATTACAAGATTACTTTTAGTGTGCCATATTATTTTAATAAAAATAGTATTATTTAAATGTCATATTTTTTCATATAATTATTATGTTTTTAAAAGTAGATAATTTCTATTATTAAATGTTATTTGATATATGATATACAAGTTGGTTATATTTGGCAATTTTTCGGTAGATTATATGTATATATTACCTCAATTTTATACTTACATTATACATGTAATAAAAATAATTATATCTATCTTGAAAAAAGAAGCATCTATAAATTCTAAATAAAAAAATGTATTGATAAGTTAAAATAAATTCATGTATTAAGCTTAATTGATTTTTAGTATTATATGAGTTAAAATACAATACATATTGTAAAAATAGTCTTTTTAACCCTATTAACATTTATTAAGCTTTTCATATTGTTGAGTTAACTTGTTTACTCCAGTGCGAAAGCATTGTGCGAATCTACACGACAGTTTATCCGGTTCATTCAACTTTACCACAACTTTTCCACGAAAAATTAAATTATGTGCGGGATTATTGTGAAAAACTTAAAATACCTTTTCTCCATAAATATTTATAAAGCATTTAAAAATAAAATTAAAATTTTTATTTAAATGTATTAAGACTTAAGATGCATAAATTTGTGAATTAACATTAATTAATATATGTATAAATAGGCGTCGTACTCTGTACGTGCTACACATACTTAATTTTAACAACAATTATTATAATAAAGACAAAAAGTACCTCATTTTAGGAGGATATTCCGGCCAGTGGTTGACCATCTCCTTCAAACCCTCGTCGCCGGGGACGTGATTTGCCGGAATCACCGTCGGCACCTGCACTGTAAAATCAAATACCTCCTTCCAATCCCTCACGTTCTTCGTGTGCTCCGTATCGTAGTACCCCGTCGGGTTCACCTCGTCCCGGGCCACCTTCCTCTTCTCCTCCTTCGGCAGCGCGAAAAAATCTCGGGCCGCCGATTCGATTCGCCGGAGGGAATCCGGCGGCACGCCGTGGTTGACGACCTGGAAGAAGCCCCAATTCTCGCACGCGCCGCCGATCGCGTCGATCAGTTGCCGGAGGGCGGCCGGGTCGGGCTCCGGCGAGCTGAGGGGCGAGAGGTCGATTAGGGGGATGTTGTCCGCCTCGATGGATTCGGGTTCGGGCCGGTGTTCGGGGGCCTGGATGAAGGCGGGATCGACTTCTAATCCCATGGCGGGTTTNTTTATTGTGATTTTCGAACGGCGGTAAAGGAAATTTTGGAGATTGTTTATGTAATTAGTTACTTTTCATAAGCAGTTTGATACATTGAACCTGGACGCAGAGGTGAAAATGTCACATGTACCAGTTTTTGACATTTTGTACAGGATGGGGACGTTAGAACAGAGCAAATGGTTACGTAATCATATTGTTCTGCAGATGTAAATGAGATAAAATGGAAAAACTTAAAAAAGCTGGTTTGTAGAAATTAATCGTATTATAACGAGTGCATCTTCGTTTCTGTCATAAAAACTCCAAATTTAAGCATGTTTGAATTGAGGTAATTGTGAATGAGTAGAAGTTTTTCGTGCATCGGTGCTCAAACCGCACTTGAAAGACTCGTGTTGGTACATTGGTGAGTATTATTAGCCTGTAGTGCAACCTTGAGGCGATGCATTAGATATGTATACTTTCAAGTTTAACTGCCATACCCTATAAAATATAAAAAGAAAAAAATAATAATAATATTAATCATTTTATAACATATGTATGCAATTTTATTACAAAAGTATGACTTATCGACTCGGTTAACTGTTAGGCCGTCTCATATAATAACTCGTGTTGGCGAGAGTTATGATTGTTAGCCTTAATTTTTTTGTTCAAGAGATGGCATAGCATAGCTACACATTATGTACAACATATTTTATATTGTGAGGCTATTGTTAGCTAGGTGTAACGGTTAGAAAGTCATGTTTTCTCAACAAATATATATATATATATATATATATATATATATATATATATATATAGGGCGGATCAAATGCGGTCAGCTCTTAAAATGCGCCCAGCTCTTAAATTGCGGACAGCTCTTAGCAACTACAGACAACTAATCTAGCAACTATAGAGAACTAACCTAGCAACTACATAGAACTAACCTAACAACTACTAACTTAGCAACTACAGAGAACTAACTTAGTAACTACAGAGAACTAACCTAGCAACTAGTAACTAACCTAGAAACTACAGAGAACTAACTTAGCAACTACAGAGAACTAACCTAGCAATTACAAAGACTAACATAGCAACTACAGAGAACTAACCTAACAACTACTAACCTAGCAACTAAAGAGAACTAACCTATCAACTACAGAGAACTAACCTAGTTGGAAGGTTAGTTGTCAACGGTCAACGCCGAAAGTTAACGGATTTCGCCAAAAGTCAACGTTGAAAGTCAACGGTCAACGTCGGAAGTCAATGGGTCAAAATAATATTTAAATAATTAAAATAATAAAAAGAAAAGAGTAAATCTTGGCCACACATGATGTACCAAATCTTGTGACTAAAATGAGTCTCACGTCATCACTTTAAATAAGTAGATGCATTGGAACCAATCCCTATATATATATATATATATATAAATTGAAATACCATGGTTTAAGAACAAACAAAAGCAAAATACTATATTTTATAAAATACATATGCATTTTAGTTGAAATAAAAATATAAAAGTTTGATGAGTCAAAATACAATATTTTATAAAATACATATGCATTTTAGTTGAAATAAAAAAATAAAAGTTTGATGAGTCAACCTTTCTAATGGTCAAACCGTTTCACATAAAAAATTATGATTATTATATTGTTTAGTTAACATTAAGCGGATTGACCTGTCATACTTTGTGCATAAAAATGAATTATTACAATATCAAGTTTCATAATTTTATCTATACAAGATATATTCTTATGAAAATATGCATATTTGTAAAAAAAAAAAAGTATGTTCGCCTAATAGTTAGATCAGAAAAACCTACGCATGCAAAATTGAGTTGATAGCTTTCAGTACAAATCCACCCCAAATCCTCATCTTCCTCAATTGATTTCACGCACCCGAACGTGTGTGTATGTGCAATCTGATAACTAAAACACCCGCAAAGGCGCTACACACGTGTACGAATCCACCCCAAATCCTCATCTTCCTCGGTTGATTTCACGCACCCGAACATGTGTGTGTGTGTGTGTGTGTATGCAATCTGACAACTAAAACACCCGTAGAGGCACTACACACGTGAATGCGATCAAATTTGCCGCATAAAAGTGTTAGTAATTGGTATGTTTATCCGTCTGAGACTCTGAGTGCAACATTGGGATTTCCTGAGCATGCCATAGCTTCGTAATTGTATGTTAGCCGTGAATGCTATCATGGGATGTTGGGATCTGCAAACTAAGGCATGTTGAGTTAGGGCGAGCGATGTAAATGTATGTAAATGTCTTTCAAAATGGAATTGTTCATTTATTGCGAATAATGTGTTGCTAAATTATTGGTTCATCATATTCATCTATAATGTGTAAGCATGGGGTACATTATTGTATAACTAATTGTGCACATGGGCGCCTTCACAAAAAGAAGTAAGACATGGAAAGAGACAGCCAGATGTTACAAAGTACTGTAATCACGCTAACCTCCGATTACATTTTTTTTCCCTTCACTAAAACCGGGGAAATCAAATAGCAGTTTGAATNAAAAAAAAAAAAAAAAAACATAAAACAAAGAAAATAATGCATTATTCCCTTCGTCTTTTCAGTGTGCAACACAACAGAGTAAGAACTGAGATGAGTTGTAACTTGTAACGACTATTTACACGATAAGTCTTCCATTATTTCACTAGACGAGCTCAAGCAGTAGGCATTGAGTTAGAAATGACCAAATAGCTCAAGTACTGAAGTCCATCCTTCATTTTACCCACGGCCGTGCTGTGATCTGCATTAAGACGTTGCTTAAAGACATCGGCCTTGTCCTGAACAGATTTCTGACCAAGAACTTCTGGTGACTCAGCAGCTGCACTTTTGATAGCCGCCACATAAGCTTCTGCCACCTCAGATATGCCTGAAAAAAAAAGGTTCATGTAAGTCATGGTAAAAGAAAATACCAAAATCCACATTCTGCAGACTGCAATAATATAAGGATAAATTGAATATAAAGCAGACAAATGTAGTGTAATAACTAATAATGTAAATTAGTTGCAAATTGCAACTTTTAACCAAATTCCAAAATCCTTCATATGGACAAATCAAGGCCACTACTAAGTTGGTGTGTGTTCTCATAGAATTTGGAGCATATTAAGTTATATATATAAATACATATATGCATGTTAGAAGTACAAAGATTTATTACGATTTGTCTTAGTTTCCACCTCAGGCAGAGAAAGTAAGACCAGCTATAAATGAAGGAAAAAATCAAACAAGAAACTTACCAGTAATGAAACTGTTGAAAACAGCTTCAATATTTCCAGTCATTGAATGGGCCTTTGTTCGGATTATCTTAGCTTTCTCCACAGAGTCCTCAGGCCAATCAATCCTCATTGTTTCCTCAATATCTTGATCTTCAACTTTGTTGGCGTTAGATATGATAGACCTCCCGAGCATCAGTATCTGAGTTACACCAAAGCAACACATTTCGGAAAGCCTCTGGAAAGAAAGGCAATGAAAAAGCAGGAACTGTTAATTATTAAGTGACGATTTTATTTTTCCAGGGACAAAAAACTGAACAATTGTGCGTACATGCACGCCCTCGGAATGAAGAGCATCCAGCCTCCTTGACGTTTTTTGAATTATGTCACTTGGGGACAATCCGGCTAAAGCACTAGCAAAACTGCAAAAGATTAGAAGCCGTTATAGCAACTTGTATCAGTATCATACTCTAAATGTGACGGTGGTTTGGTCAGAACAATTATAATTGAACTTGTTGTGAACATAGCCGTATTGATTGTACCCATCGTAATCTGCAAAGGTTGATTAAAAGTTGACCTGATAAATGTTAAAGCTAAAATAAGAAATATGAAATGTATATTTACCCTGCAGCCAATTCTGCAGCCTTAGAAAGGCTGGAATCGTGTAACTTCTTGAATTCGTCAATGTTGTCAATGTTACCAGCCTCTATCATTTTCCCTTTTCCCGAGTCTGTAAAAGTTCCATCAACTATAGCACCCAAGTCAAATATCTGTTGGACTTCTTTTAGCTTTCCATCGTAGATAGATTTTTCTTCAGACGAGAGTTTAGCCTTTCTTCTGTTATATAACAGCGTATAATGGTTGGATAATGCCTCTAACTCCTGCAAGGGTATATGTCATAAGCATTTTAAACAGCCATCTTAAAAATGAAAGTGTGAATGAATCTGAAACTAGTAGATACCTCCAGCTGCTCTGGACCTCCATAGATATAAAAGCATCGGTCAAATGTAATTTCCTCAAGATCTTCATCCATTATTCCTCCAGTTTTTTTCTCAACTTGAATCCCAGTTTCTGAAATTAACAGATCCATGGTTTCTTTACCGACTTTCTCAAGCACTTGCATACTCTTTGCTGTAAAAGCTTTTCCAGTCTGCATAACATACAATCAAGACTGAGGTTTGGTCACAACTCTAGAAAAATAAAAAGAACAGAGATAGTAGTGCAACCTCTAACAAAGATGGTGCAGCAGAACCGGCCGACCCAGGTAAACCGCCATGTTGGATTGAATCAGTTAAACTTGAAGCAGAATCCTCAATCCTTGGAGAAATAAGAAACAATTCATACCAGCAATTTGTTCTACTTTCAACAAACTAACATATGCTAATTCAAATGCTTTACCAGGTTTAACTGTACATCTACAAAGCCTTACCCAGCTCAAAATATAATTTTGACATACCGAACCACACAGTTAACCTCAAGTAAATCAGAGAACATACTATGAAGAGAACCTAGAAAGCAACACTACGGATCAGTTATGAAACCTAAGGATGTCATCGAGAAGCATACATCATTCTCAAAGAACAATACACTATACACGCTTCTTTTGAATAGTTACCAATATAAAATAATCTACTGGTATTAACTGCCCATTTGGAAATGTATGGCTCATCAACGCACGTAACTAGCTGACAAGCCAAATATGAATCATCTCAAGCTTTTTCAATCCAACAGTAGACCATTAACGACCAAATCAATTTTCTGATGAATACAGCATGAAAAACTTTTCCTATGATCGTAACTTTTGTGATCCAGAGTGGAGAGAAGAAAACACACACAGATACACACAGAATATAGGCATACTTTTGAACTAGAGTGGCTCCCCCTTTCAATGCAGTTCCAAAAGCTTGCCAAGCTCCTGAAGCAAAAGATTCTACTGATGTATCAAGAACCTTCAAACCCTGCACGACGAAACTCAAATAAGGTATGATGAAATTAGATAATTTCAGCAAGAAGAAACTGATACATCTCTGCATAGATATACTGAACCAAAAACAAATAAAATCTCAATCTGGATGGCGGAGAAGGAACATGACAAAAAAATAACAATCTCAGGTATTTCTTTCCCATAAACTACCTGGCTAAGTAAGGAATCTTCACTAGCTTTCTCTAACTTCTCTAGTGCTGCTTTGCGCCTCTTGTCATTTCCGTCATCTGTTTCTTCATCAACAGATACTAATACTTTTTTATCTTCCTCAGAAGAATCTGAATCTTCGGCAATAGTCTCTGAAATGGTCTTTGCTGCTGTCCTAGCAGCCTCCAAAGCCTGTATTTAGAAAAGATAAAAATTGCAACATAATCTTTTATGAATGGATCCGAGTTTTATGATACAAAGTTAGTGATACAATCATTTTCTTGAGTACTCAAGGATCCCCAGAGCTCCCGGAGAGCATATTTCAATATTGTTTTCTCGTAAAATTATTAACCTCCGCCTTTTATTGAATAATATATCTACATTAGAGGTATAGATAAATTAGTATACTTAAGGAAATGAGAACAATGAGATACATAAAAGGGTTTCATAAACCATTGGCAGCAAATCTGGGTTGTTGTCATGGAACATTAATATAGGATACAAAACAATTGCTTGTATTCATAAGATATTCACGGAGAACCCTTTTAACGGAAAACAGAAATCAACATCTATATCCAGCATAAAGACCATGGATGATTAGTGCATTTAAATAATTCAAAGCAAGGAAAATTATGGTGTTGTCCTGTAACTTCCGTTTCATACTCGCCAGATTTCCTTTTCTCAATACAGGTAAAAAAGAAATGTCAAAACTCAACACAAGACAATGAAGTTGAAATGGCATATGAAACTGATATTTCTGCACGGCACATCATTTTATTGAATTTTTTCCTTTATAATACGGGAATCTAATAAGTATGTATGCCTACATCTAATAACTTAGTCACCTAATCTTCAGACCACTCAAATCCTAGACAGGAAAAGATAATTTGATGGCAACACAGTGAACTAAGATACCGGTAAACTTTTCCAACATATTTACAACCAGAATAACTCTATTCACCAAATTTACAAGATTCACTACAACGAGACAGTAAAATTACTCTAAACAGTGCAAAGCCCCATAAATGCAATGCGAAAAATCAGTGCAAATAAACAAAACATTGAGAATCCATAAATGTGTTCTTTTCATACTATCCTAACAATGTAGGAAATAACATTAAGCTAACTCTGAAGCAATAACACTGCAACTTCTTAATAAAACCAAAGCTTAAATCCCAATGAACTCATGATAGCATTCTAACCGAATCCTGATTAACATCCGATCATAATAGACTCATGATAGCATTCTAACTGAATCCTGATTAACATCCGATCATAATAGACTTCAGAAAGGTTGAAAAGAAACATACATTGCGAGAGATCTCTTCGGCGGCCACATTAGCAGCTTTCTGAAGATCCGATAGATAAGAGAGGGGAGAAAAGCCCCATCCGCCCCATCCGCCACCTCCGCCGTCGTTTGCACCCACTGATGAGGGCTTTTCAGCCGCGGCCTCGGGTTTTATGTCCATTTCGGGCTCGATTTCTGAATCGGTAGGCTTCGTCGAGTTGTCAGCCATCAAAATTCAATTGCTGCAAATTTTCGGTGGAAACAAGAAGAAAACGCAAATTGTATTCGATTTGAATTCAAAAAATTCTAGGAAATGCAAGGCGATCTCACTAAATTAGGGAGATTCTTTGATAGCTAAAAATGGCGTATCTATGGACCATATCTGGTGACCCGTGACCTACTTGAACGTGCTGTAGAAGAACAGGAAATCGGAGCGGTGTCGTTTTGGTCACATCTAAAGCGCTGTTTCAAATAGTTCACCGGTTTAACGATATTGGTAATTAGTAATTCATGAAGTTACTACATTTATCTCCTAATTATTTTTTGATGAATTAAAATTTAAGATGCATAATTTTTTTTTATTATTTTTGCAACAACCAATTAATTTAAAAAAAAAAAATAACAAGGCACAAAATGAATGGCTATATTATAATATTATTTTTGTGTAGAGAATCTGATTGAATATGCTTTCATTTGTGTGAAATTTTTTATTAGTCAAAAAATAGATAAAACAAAATAATGATTATTTTAATGTAAATCAATGCGATATAAAAAATATAATTAATGCAATATAATTTAAAAGTTATAAGAATAATAATTTATAATTATTACTTATAAATATGTAAGTAGAAAAATAATAGAATTTATAGATAAATGTACAGAAATTATTAATTTTAAAATTGAAATTTTGTACTGAAAAATATGAGTGGTGTTAATATGATGTATTTTTTAATTGATAAATGAATGAGTTTTGATATATATTCAATTTTACCCTAATAAGTTACCGGTTAATTCAAGTGTGAAGATTACGTTTATATATTTTTTTATAAATTATAATGTGGTATTGTAACTTCTTCTTTTTTATTTATTTTTTCACACATACTATAGTATAACTCTGATTTTGACTTTTTGAGGGTGAAAAAAAGAGGCGATCTAAAAGGCGATTAACATCAATCATATTTTTGTTGCTACAATTTAGAATTCTATTTATACTATAGACATGAGTCACTAATAAGAACGTTGATAATTATGATTCACAACCAAAAGATCACAAAAATGAATTATTTAATTTGTGGATGATCATGCTTATATAACACAAGAAATATAATTATTAGTTTGATTCTTCAATACGAAGTTTAAACTTGTACTCAATATGAATAACTTAACGAAGTTCAACATAAACCATAACCACATGCACGGATAAATTAGACACAGTAGAAGCAATTTTGTTTTGTGGAATAAATTGCTACGAATGTGAGAGAATGGACTAAAATTAGATAAGAACCTAAAAGTATGAAGAGACAAAACTTATGAACTTTGTTTGTACATTGATTTTTGAACTACTACTGGTAAAAATGAAATATAAATAGGACGGGAATATAAAACTCATTAATAGCCTGGGATGGCTGGAGGCGGCGGGGATTTGTAACTGGCGCCCAGCGGCCCCGGGATTCTCACTGGTGGGTATATCACATAAGGTGGCGGTGGTGGGGAATTAACCGGCAAAAGAGGAGGCGAAAAGGCTAGTGGAGGTGGAGAGAGGACAGGTGGGGACTGTGAAGTTGATGGTGGGATTAGAGAGTGGCCATGTGGTTGAGGATTAGGTGGTTGCACTGGCGGCGGTGGAGAATAGACCGGTGGTGGTGGAGAGTGGAGTGGTGGGGGAGGTGATTGTACCGGCGGTGGTGAAGAGTGGATGAGTGGTGGAGGGGGTGAATGTACTAGTGGCGGCGGAGAGTTGACAGGTGGTGGAGGTGGTGGTGACTGTACTGGCGGTGGTGATTGGGCTGGCGGCGGTGGAGAGTTGACTGGTGGTGGTGATTGGATCGGCGGTGGTGGAGAG